AAGTAAGGCTATAGCCTTAACTTTTCGTCCATTTTTACCCACTTATGTCATTTTTCATAAGTGGGCCAAAAACAGCAAAAAAGTAAGGCTATAGCCTTAACTTTTCGTCCATTTTTAGCCACTTATGTCGTTTTTCATAAGTGGGCCAAGAACAGCAAAAAAGTAAGGCTATAGCCTTAACTTTTCGTCCATTTTTAGCCAGTTATGTCATTTTTCATAAGTGGGAAAAAAACAGCCAAAAAGTAAGGCTATAGCCTTAACTTTTCGTCCGTTTTCAGCCACTTATGTCATTTTTCATAAGTGGGCAAAAAACAGCAAAAAAGTAAGGCTAGAGCCTTCGTTGAGAAGAATAAAAAACCCAGTTGAAGCAAGTGCAAGCGTGGTGGTCTAGTGGTAAGGAGAAAGTGTTGCAAGTGTGTGAAGCCAGGTTCGATTCCTGATTGTGCCACGCGCATTTTAATGTCGGGTGCCGTTGTTAAATAATTCCACCCGAGAGACGAAAGAGTTAAGTAAAATAAAAAAGAAGATAAAGTAAGTGTAGGCGAGATGGTCTAGTGGTAAAGACGAAGTGTAGCAAGTGCGTGAAGCCAGGTTCGATTCCTGGTTGTGTCAGGAGCATTTTAGTGCCTGGTGTCCTCCACCCGAGTGGAGAAAGGGTTAACTAGAATAAGAAAGGAGTTAAAATAACTGTGGTCGAGATGGCCTAGTGGTAAGGGAACGTGCTGCATGTGGGGGAGGACAGGTTCGAGTCGCGGTTGTGCCAAGAGCATTTTAGTGTCGGGCGTTTTCCTTAGTTAATTCCACCCGAGAGGAGAAAGGGTCAAGTAGGATAAGTAAGGAGTTAACGAAAGTGTGGTCGAGATGGCCTAGTGGTAAGGGCAACGTGCTGCATGTGGGGGAGGACAGGTTCGAGTCGCGGTTGTGCCAAGAGCATTTTAGCGTCGGGCGTTTTCCTTAGTTAATTCCACCCGAGAGGAGAAAGGGTTAAGTAGGATAAGTAAGGAGTTAACGAAAGTGTGGTCGAGATGGCCTTGTGGTAAGGGCAACGTGCTGCATGTGGGGGTGGGCAGGTTCGAGTCGCGGTTGTGCCAAGACCATTTTAGCGTCGGGCGTCCTCCTTAGTTAATTCCACCCG